AATTATAATTCTTAAAAGTCCACATGTAGTGTTGAATATGGTAGGCCCCTCTGGGATGAACATCTACTTCAAGTTACAGGGCATTTCTTAACTTTTCTCTCCATTGTTGACCCTTTTATGTACTCTCTCTGGCATATCCCAGACCAGGCAGGAAGAGTAGTACCTCGTGATATTGATGATTCAAGCAGGAAGTCCCTCCCTACCAGGGCCAAAGTTAAATGGCTCTGCCCCCTCAGCACCCCTGGAAGTCAGGGAAACTTCAGTTGGGACTGATCTTCAAATCATGCCATAGACTAAAGATGAACCAGTATTTCTGTATGTCCTTGTTTCAGAAAAGAGAATGGCTGCTGTTAGCCAAGGGGGAACCACTGGGCCCAGGACACAGCCAGAGAATTCCTGCCAGCACCTTCTATGTGATCATGCCATCACGCTCCCTCACACTGCTGGTGAAGGCGGTGGCCACACGGGAACTGATGCTTCCCAGCACCTTCCCCCTGCTACCTGAGGACCCACGTGATGACAGTCTTAAGAATGTGGAGGCAAGTGGAGCCCAGATCTCATGGGACAGATCTAGAAGCGAATGGAGTTTGAGAAAGGGAGGAGGGAGAGGAGTGAGCCCAGGAGGGAATGGATGGGGAGCTGAGGAAGGAGTGTGGTAAGACAGTAAGAAGAGAAAGCAAGAATAGGCAATGATGCCAGAAGAAGGAAGTAAACACTTAGATGATGGCAGCAGGGTAAGGAGTGAAATAGAATGGAGGCTGGGTTGAGGGAAATGAGACTTGAGAAGAAAAAACTGGGAGAGAAAAGGGATATTGGCATCAGTGATGACTGGGAATTAGAGTCATCCTAGAGGACTCACCACATGCACACGGACCTGAAATCTGAGGAATAGGTGGCTGTGAAGGAGAAAAGGGAGCATCACAGAGTAGAAGCCTGATGGCAGGCCAGGGCACAGGGAAGCAGGAGAGGAAGCCACAGCACCGGCAGCTCCAGCTCCTGGGGATGCACTGGACACTTGTTTTGTCAGTTTTGTCTTTGCACAGACTGGTTCTCCTGCCCCCACCTCCTCCCCAGAGAGGAGATTGTGATGTTAGACAAGGGAGAGCAGAACATTGGGAGGGAAAGGAAAGGAGAAGACAACAGCAGAAGACAGAAGAAAAAAGAAAGGAGAAGGGTGTAAAAGGAGACCCAAAAAATCATTCTTTGTATGGGTTTTCGTGTCTTTGTGTGTTTATTTTTTGAATGTGTCTGTGCTTGGGTCTCCAAATTGGTGGCAGTGGGTATAGATGTGCCTGTGCATATCTGTGCTGGTGTATTCTTAGGGGTCTAACTTTCTGCATTGCATGTGTGCATATGTGTATACCTGTGTTGCGCTCATTTATGTTTGTTGAGAAAAGGAGGAAAAGGCAGCCAATGTAGGTGCCCAAAATAGGAAGGGCTTCAAAATGAGACGAGATGGATGTAGATGCAAAGGCCACTTTTTCCTCCTCCTCCTCCTCCTCCTCCTCCTCCTGGGATCTGGATTCTCTACATTTGCTCTGCTAGTCTCCCCAGGCTAAGGGTGGGAGGGATGGCTCTGGGTAGGGAGAACTGGAACCACATTGCTGCTGGCTCGCTGGCTTAAACGCAGCAAGGACAAGGCCTGGGATTGTACTCTTGGCTTGGCGGCCACAGAGACACAGAGAGAGGTGGGCACAAATGGCCATGGCCCGCTCAGCGTCTCACTTTGGGGCCAGTGGTTCCTGGCACAGGATGTTGTGGCCGGAAAACCTGACTGCACAGGAATGTTGTACTCCTGTATCCCCTCCTCCCTTTCCATTCAGCTCAGCTCACCTCCAGGCTGAGAACTCCATGTACTCGCCTTGCAGGCTGTGAGCACCCCGCCCTGCTGTGTAGCCCACTGACACACTCTCCCTCCGTGCTCACAGTGGATCCCTTGTAGCATTCATGTGCGCCGGCCCCCTCAGAACCCCTGGACATGCGTCTTGGGGCCAGAGTGTTCAGTGTTCCTAACCACTTAGGGTTTTTCCTACTTCTCCTACCCATGCCTGGCCCTTACATCACAAGCACTGGACCTCAGGCCAGAACACCCAGTGGGACAGCATCTATTTCACAGCCTTCATGGCAGCCCTGGGGTTTCACACTTCCTCCAGCCCCTCACACTTCTGGATCACTGCCTGACATCTTGTGTTCTGTGACCTCAAGTTCCCTGGGTAAGGCCCCTCTTTTCTTTTCCTCAGAGCATGCTGGATAGCCTGGAGCTGGAGCCCACCTACAACCCCTTGCAGGTTCAGAGCCACCTGTACTCACACCTGAGCAACATCTATGCCAAGCCTCAGGGGCGGCTCCACCCACACTGGGAGAGCCGAGCCCCGAGAAAGGTACCACTCCTCTCCTTCCCTCCTCTTCCTTATTTCCCCTCCCTCCCCTTCATGCCCAGAGTCCTAGAAAGCCCTCCTCCCCCATCCCAACACCACCCCCATCCAAGGGAGTAGCCCTCCTCCTGGATCCCACCCCTGGTGGAAGGGAAAATTAGAACTCTTACTGGGTAGGGAGGCCTGTTTGCTAGGGCATTTACATATGATAATGTTTAGGTGTTTTAATTGTAGTGTTTATGATAACTCATTAGTCATTTACCAGACTATTGTCCCATTAAGCAAACTGGCTACACAGGAACTACGACCACAGTCCTCCTGAAAGAAAAGGCTGAAGGAAAGGTGGGAAAAGAAATGCCCAAGGGATGGGAAATTAATATTTATAGAGCACCAGTCATTTGCCAGGTTTTATGATAAGTGCTTGCTCATATATTTTTCTCATTTAATCCTCACAGCATCCCTGCAAGGTACGTGTTTGCTCATTTATAGATGAGGAAAGGAGGCTGACCAAGGTTAGTAACTCGAGAGGACTCCCATGACTGGGATTGAAGACAGTTGGGGTTGAAGAGGGAAGAATGATTGAGGATGGAGAAATATTTTTATGAGACCCATGTTCTATATAATATTTGGGCTTCCTTCTGCCCTTATTAACTTTTTCTCAGTTTCTTAGTAACACAGCCTTTAGAAAAATTATCATTTTGGGCCAGGCATGGTGGCTCATGCCTATAACTCCAGCACTTTGGAAGGCCGAGGCAGGTGGATCGCTTGAGCTCAGGAGTTTGAGACCAGCCTGGGCAACATGGCAAAACCTCGCCTCTACAAAAATACAAAAAATTAGCCGGGAGTGGTGGTGCTCACTGTAGTCCCAGCTACCTGGGAGGCTAAGGTCGGGGGATTGCTTGAGCCCAGGAGGTTGTGGCTGCAGTGAGCCAAGACTGTGCCACTGCACTCCAGCTTGGGTAACAGAGCAAGTTCCTGTCTTAAAAAAAAAAAAAAAAAAAAGTCATTTTGTCTTAGCTAAAATTACAGGAGGACATTTTCAAACTAGAGGTAGGAGCAGGGGCTACCACAAGTTAGCTGCTGGGCAAGCTGCCAGAGGTAGGACACTGGGCAAGGAGATAGGCACTGTGGAGGCTGGGCTCAAGGGACTCCAGATCACTGTCCTGGGCCTTGAGGCTGTCACTCCAGGGATGGGACTTACGAAAGAGTTAGGACAGGAAGCCCAACAGAGAATGGGATAGGTGCTCAGAAACTCTGATCTTCAGAGAAGACTCTGGTTGCTCTCTTTGCAGACTGGGCAGTTGCAGACCAACCGAGCTCGAGCCACTGTGGCCCCCCTGCCTATAACTCCTGTCCCAGGCAGAGCCTCCAAGATGCCAGCAGTCAGCAAATCTTCCTCAGATGCCTTCTTTCTGCCTTCAGAGTGGGAGGAAGATCCCTCAGGGCCCTAAGTCACCAGCACCAGAGCCCAGCTGCCCAGCTTAACCACATCCATGCTCAGGTTCACATAATGGCTATCTGTGTGTGGTCAGACCTGCTTTCTATCCACCTGAGCCTCTGTGAGTGAGGGCTGACTGGGAAACAACAGCCTCCCCCTCCTCTGTTTCGCTGCTGTCCCACTCCTCAAGTCAGGAAGCGACACACCCGAGCCTGTCCCTTCTCCAGCAAGGACTCTCATTTTCTTTTGAATCATTTGATACTGTTTACACAGGTGAAGATTAAACACCCAGTAAGCTTCCACCATTGTTAGGAGCATTGCTAACCCAGAATTTCTTCTTGTAGCTCTGTGTAAGCAGGTGGATGAGGTCAGATCACCTTTGGTAAACAGGACCTCAGGAACAAGGATGAGGTTTTCAAAGCTCATAAAAAACAAGTAGAATTGAAATCCAAGCCTCATTGCAGAGCCTGTGCCCTTCCCGCTACACCACCAGGCGTAAGCCTCCAGAAAGACAAGTGCTTGGTACCTACATGCAAAGTGTGTGTGTTGCGGGGTGGGAGGGCTGCCATACAGCCCAGAACAGGGGAGAGGATGGTGTAAAAAAGACCTACTCCTTTCCTGTTACTCTCTCCCTACATGTACCAACTTTCCTGTTGCTCCCTCCATCCACAGAATAATAGCTACCATTTATAAAATGTTTACTCTGGGCTGGGAGCAGTGGCTCACACCTTTTATCCCAACACTTGAGAGACTGAGGTGGGATGATCACTTGGGGCCAGCAGTTCGAGACCAATCTGAGCAACACAGTGAGACCCCCATCTCTACATAAAAAATATTTTTTTAAAAAAACCACTCTGTGCTTCAGATTACACTATATACTTATAATGTATCTAATTTCATACAAAAAGCCCTGTGAGGTAGGGCCCATTATAGCTTTCCCATTTTACAGAGGGGCACAGAGGAAACTGAGGGTTGCAGATGTTATACAACTCACCCAGGGCCACAGAGCTCATGTCTAGCCCAGGGCAGCCTGACTTGACTCCCCAGGCACTGAACCGCCACGCTCCTGTTGTTCCCTTCCTGGACGCCTTTCCGTGACTCTCAACACATTCCTTGTTCTCCTCTTGATCCCCACCACACCCAACCCAACCACTGTGTCCCCTCTTTTTCTGTTCACACACATAAACTTCTTAAACCCAAGCTGACTTTAATGAGAATTTTAAAATTTTTAAATAGGTCTCTGGCAAAGAACAATGCAGGAGTAAGAATCCAGGCACAGTCCAACATCTCCCTGAGGCCTCCACATGGGCCCCTCAAACTGCACCCACTCTGACCATGCACCACTTTCCACAGACCTGGTCCCGCAGCTGTCCCTTCCTTTGGGGAAGTGGAGAAGGGACAGCTTTAGGAGGATACAGAGCCCATCCCTCAGCCTTGCCATCTGCCCCACTTCTTAGGACTTCCTGGGATTGTCCTTCCTTTGACTCCCCTATCCCTCTGGTCCCCTGGTCTCATACAGCACGGCCCCTCCCACCTTCTGGCTTCTGCTGGTTCTAACCATTTTCTTAGATCCCTAGTGCCACCTCCCCATGGTCCTCCTTAGCCACCTCAGCCTTGCCCTCCTTCTCAGGTAGAGGCCTCTGACTTGACCCCAGTCTTGTCAGTCCCTACTCTAGACAGCTCACAGTCTCAGCTCCCTGAGGCCCCGCTTTTATGGACCTGGCTGTATAGGGCTGAGTTGTAGCTTTTGCTGCCACTGCCAGTTGCAGTACCAGGTTCAGGCTTGGGAGCAGGGAGGGGCTTTGTGCTCCGAGGGGGTGGCACAGCATAGTCATCAGTGGCAGGGTTGTAGGGGAGCTCATAGCCCTCCTCCTTCACCCGGGCTTGGCACCACCATGCATCCTTGGGCTCCCGAGGCAGATCATAAAGGCCCTGGGGAGGGACTGGGGCCAAGCCTTCAGGTTCATCATAGATGGGGTCCTCTTTGGGGTCCGTCAGCTTGGCCTTCAGCAACTGCTGCTGCGCATGCTCAAACAAGTCCCAATAGAGAGGTTTCTTCCGTTGCACTCCCTCTCCTGCCCGGGCAGGGGTGCTGTCCAAGGGGTCTGAGTATAGGGAGTCCTGGGAAGGGCATGGAGCAATTCGCAAGGAGTCTAAGGGCTCAGCGTACAGGGCTGGGGGGCTGTCAAGGAGCTCTTGGGGGCCAGGTGGGGAAGGCAACTTCCCCTCTGCCACCTCCCCTTCATGGGAATCAGCTCTGAGAACATCGTGCCCCTGTCTGGCCTTTCCCTGGGCCTTCTGCCGGTGGATGGCAGTCTCAACTGCCTGGAAGATGTCATTTCCCTGTGCTGTCTGGAAGGTGAAGGTTCCAGGGCCGGAGGGGCAGCGGCGGCCGGCCTCGAAAGAGAACATGACCTGAGGAGGGTAGAGAGGGAAACACATTACCAGGAGCCATCAGAGGAAGTGAGTCACAGGCCTGCACTAGTTAGGGTATCTACAAAGAAGAGACCACCTGGGGTCACCAGGTAGGCAAGAAAGGGGGATCCAAAGGTCAGAGCTTCCCACCTTCTGTCCTGCCCCACCCCTCCCACAGCTCCCCAACCCAGGAAGCCCTCCCGGACAGCCCCTGCACCTTGTCCCGGCCATAGCGACGCAACAGAGTGTAGGGCCAGGACAGAAGTGGCTCCAGTATCTGACTCTGGGCCCCCATGGTCAGGAGAGTCAGCCTCTCAGTCTCCACCCTCAGCACGTAGGAGCCATGCAGGCCACAGCGCTCGGCGGCCTCAGTCCTCTGCACCGTTACCCAGAATTGGGATCCTGGAAGGCATATACGATTAGACAGCTGCTGGGGGAGGGGCGGGGGCAGCAGTGGGGACCCAGAGGACTCATGAGCGTAATGTCCAAGCACTCACTTGGAAGCCAGATCTCAGGGCCTTCCTACTTCCCCATGGGCCCCTGGGTATCCACCCACTTTCCAAAGGCCCTCCTCCTCACTCCATCCCTGCCCCGGCTTCTTAGGCGTCTACCTTCCCAGGTGGGGCTGTACAAGGAGTTCTCCAGCATCTCCAGGGCAGAAAGCTTAGGTGGGTTATCTGAAGGCGCCAGAGTCCAGCTGCCTTTCTGTAGTAGAGAGAGAGCATCGAGAAACCTGTAATTTTCTCAACGGGGAGTGGGTGTCGGTATGAGCCAGCCCCATTTCTCTGCCTCTGTAACTGCCCCCACCCCGCATCGCCGCAGCTCCTCACCGGAAAGGCGTTTCGGCACAGCGTCTGCACCCAGGCTGCACTGGACGGCGCGTCGGCCGCCAGCAAGTGCGAGCGCTGAGCAGTGTCCAGGCGGAAGGCAGTGGCGCCGGGCTCAGGCGGGGTCTCCACGGTAACAGGGGCCACACTCACACACTCAGCCAGACGGATCACCTTGCAGTCCAGGCGGCGCGAGCTCCCTCGGCCACCCCCAGAGCTCGACCCCTTATGGTCAAAGAACTCGAGCCGCGCTACGCCGTGAGGACTGGCCGGGTAGAGCACGGCCCAGGTCTTCCTCCACTTCTAGGGAGAGAGTGAGAGGGCTGGAGAGTGAGTGGCGTGCGCGGGCGGCCCGGGTCCCGACGAGGAAGGAGGGAGCGGCGCAGGTCGATTTGGGGTCTGGGGCTTCCAAACGGGGGGGCGAAGTTTCCCAAGGAGGATGCCACTCCGTCTCCCCAGGACCAGAACCCCGAGACTAGAGACGCTTCCTGGGAGCGTACAAAGCAACTTCGCAGGACAGTCACAGGCTCTCCAACTGCCCGCGCCGCGCTCCAGCCTGCTGCCCACCTCTCCCTGTTTCTGGGCTCTCTCACCCACTACTAGCCCGGATAAGGTTCGGCATCCGTGCCCCAGACTACCTTGGTCCCAAAGCGCTGACTCTGCAAAAACAGCGGCCCTTCCATCACGGCTCCGTCCATGGCCCCCGGCGGTCCCTTCCGCGCTTCCTGGCCCTGCGGCGGGAGGCGGGGCGGGAGGCGGGGCCGGGTTCCCAGGAGGCGTTTCCGCCCCTCCCCGGCCCCCACCGGCGGCCGCTGGGGGGTCGCGGTGGGGTGAGGGAGAAGAGCGAGAAGGAAGGGTGGAGGCCCCCGGATTAGCCTGGCGCTACCCAGGCCCCTACCCGCCGTCGTAGGGGCGCGCCGGTAGCTCCACCGAAAGTACTCGGTTTTGGCGCGAGGACCCTGGCCTCTGGACGTGGTGGCTGCGCGTGACGTCATATGTCCAACGTGACATCAGAGTGAAAGCCATGACCTCACCCCGAAAGCCCCCGGAGGCACCGGAGAGACCCACACGGGCCTCCAGAGCTTCAGTTCCCCTGGGCGGGCCCGCCCCCAGCCCCGCCCGAGCCGGGCTGTTTACACTCCGCTGACCGGGGACTCGGAGGGAGGGCTGGGATTGAACCGCTTCCCGCCACCACCGGGGACGCCCCGCCGCCCGGCGGCCGCTTGCATGTCAGCTCCCTGACCGCAGAGGCCTGGCCTCCATGCCGCGGGAAGAGAAAGCTTCTTTGAGCGGGCCGGGAGGGCCGGGGAGGGGGAGGGGGCGCAGCAGTGGCCAGCTCCACAGGGAGGGAGGACTCAGAGGAGGAGAGGAGGGAACTGGCCGGGAGGAATGGAGCGAGAAGGCGGAATGTGGGAGGGCTCAGGGGGATGTGGGAGGGAAGAACGGAGAAGGGGGAGAGAGGGGGGTCTAGTCTCCCCTGGCCGATCTTTTTTTTTTTTTTTTTTTTTTTGGAAGTCCTAGGACTGATCTCCAGGACCAGCACTCTTCTCCCAGCCCTTAGGGTCCTGCTCGGCCAAGGTAGGGGGAGTCACGTTAACCGCAGAGGGAGAGAGTAGGGGATGGAGAGGATGTGGAGGGACCAGAGAAAACGGTGGTGTGGGATGGAGTCGAGGGGAAGCCACCCAACTGAGAGTTTGATTCTTGTCTAAGGGCATGTGAGACAGAGTACAGAGAGGAGGCACATACCGGAGGCGGGGGCTCCGGGTGTTCTGAACAGGGCCACCAGGCGCGCCCTAAGGGAGGGGGCTCCTCCGGGAGGCCCTACCCCTGGGTCCCCAAGCCAAAATGTCCCCAGAACAAAGCTGCCTTGTTGGATTGATTGTTTGGGTTGGGGGAAGCATGTTGACGGGGGCTTGCTGTAGAGGGGCTGTTCTCAGCCCTAGGCAGAGAAGGCCTTGGCTGAGGAGCCATAGCGCCTGGCCTCCGGTTGCCCGGTGACAGCGATGGTGGTGTTGGCAGGAGGCTGGGACAACCCTACCCCATCCCCCACCCAGCCTTAAGGCCTGGCCCTCCTGGGCCTCTTGACCCTGCAGGGCATCTGAGAGCCTGTGTACTGGGGAGGGCATGCAGCAGGCTCTCCAGGTGAGCTTTGGTGCCAGCCTTCCCTGCCTGGGAATCTGCTGGGTTAGGACTCTGGGCTCTCATTCAGGGGATCTGTGATCCCAGGGACGCCTAGGGCCCCTTACGTGCCTCTCTGCACAATCAGTACAGCTGTCTGTCCTCCCTCTGGGTAAATGGGGTCATCTGGATCCCTCCCACGTCCGCCCCTTGGCTCTTGTCAATCTCTCTCCTCCTCACCCAGGGCTTGCTTCATTCCCCTATACTGAGTGCTTGGTTCTTTTTCTATCACCTTCTATCTGTTGTCTCTCTCCTCTGTGTCTTTCTGTTTTTCTCTCTCTGGTTCCCACAGTTTCCCTTCCTCTCACATCCTGTCTGTCTGGGTCTTCCTCTCTGCGTGTCTCTTGCTCAGTCTCTGTCTCTTTTTCTTGACCCTTCTCTGACTCTTGATCTTTCATAGCTGTCTCTTATCTCTGGGTCTCTCAGGCTGTGCCTCTATGACCTGTGCCTCTGCCCTGATTTAATGTGCTTCTCTCCCTGTCTCTCTTGGTCCCTGGGGCTCTTTCTCTCCTGCTGTCTCTCGCGATCTGTGTCTTACTCAGTGTCTGTTTTTCTTTCGTGACTTCTCCCTCTCTTTCTGACTGTGGGCCCCACTCAATCTCAGTTTCTCTCACACGTACTTTCTCTCTGGGGCACCCAGGCCTTCCCTACCATGCGACCTGTCAGTGTCTGGCAGTGGAGCCCCTGGGGGCTGCTCCTGTGCCTGCTGTGCAGCTCGTGCTTGGGGTCTCCGTCCCCTTCCACGGACCCTGAGAAGAGGGCCGGGAGCCAGGGGCTGCGGTTCCGGCTGGCTGGCTTCCCCAGGAAGCCCTACGAGGGCCGCGTGGAGATACAGCGAGCTGGTGAATGGGGCACCATCTGCGATGATGACTTCACGCTGCAGGCTGCCCATGTCCTCTGCCGGGAGCTGGGCTTCACAGAGGCCACAGGCTGGACCCACAGTGCCAAATATGGCCCTGGAACCGGTGAGCAATGATCCAGGCATATCCTAGGTATTACCTAAGTGTGGCCAAAGTGCAGGGAAAGGGAACACCAGGATGGCACAGCCATAGGGACGCATGACATCAAGAACAGCCAGCATTGAGTAAACCCATGGGTGACAAACCAAGCAACATAGTTACTTCTCAGAGCTGTGTGACCTTAGGCTAGTTGGTGCTTTCTCTGAGCCTTGGATGCCGTGTGTGCAAAATGACTAGATGATGTCTAAGTTCTTTTCTGCTGCAAAAGTATGATCCTACAAAGCCATCCGCAAAATAGCCCAGATACAGGTGAGCCCTGTACAAATAAAGTACAGTTGGTTTCATGGGACGCTAAGAGCAGGTAAATGATATCTGGATGTCCCAAAGTCATAAGGGGTCACAGACACTGCAGTTAACAAAATCAGGCTATAGGCCAGAGCTAAAATTAACAAGGTGGTACTGTCTAAGGACAAGTATAAAATCTAGGACAAGTATGAGTGTGGGTGGTGGAGGCTTAAGAGCAGTTCCCTGGGTGAGGCCTAGGACTGCGCCCATGGTATGAACCCACAGTGGGATTGATGGACAGAAGCAGGTGCAACCTGCAGCTGATCCCCCAGTTCCCACTGGCTAGACCACCTGTGGAATTAAGTGTCATTTGTAGATGCTGTGTTTTAAGAGGGACAGTAGAAAATGGAAATACTTTCACAGGAGAGCTGCCTAGATGTGAAAGATTCAGAAGCCAAGTTTCAACGAGGAATTGCTGAAGAATCAGGGAATTGATACGGAAAGTAAAAGCCTTGCATAGCAATGACATAATGGTTGTTTTCAAATATGAGAAGGACAGTCGTGTGGCTGAGGGATTTTTCTGGTTGGCACCAAAGGACTGAATCAGATGTGGTGGGGGAAAGTCACGAAGAGTCACAAGGACTTTGATGACCTTGAACATTGGCTAGGACAGATGACCTTTGAGGCTGCGCCTAATTCTGAGAGGAAATCAGTGATACTCCACAGGGTTCAGGCCAGGCACGGTGGCTCATGCATGGAATCCCAGCACTTTGGGAGGCTGAGGCGGGTGGCTCACCTGAGGTCAGGACTTCAAGACCAGCCTG